ATAATAATATAATGAATAAATTAATGTATATCAAAGTTAAATTGACCATTTAGGATCAAAGTTCGTTTTATCTCTAACCAAAAACAAGCTCAACATTTTATCTATTAAATTAAGCAGATCAAACCTTACAGACAACATTTTTATTTTTAAATAAAAATGAAAATTTCATAAAAATAAAAATTTTATTGTGGCCCATTTGAAATTTATAATTGAATGGTTATTGTTTGAATACAATAAATAAATAAAAAATGTATTTAAAAAAAGTTATTTGTGGCAAAATACTTCATAATATAAAATATTCGAATATTCATTTTGGAATATACTTTTTTACAGAACTATTAAATATTAATTTTTAGCTAATGATGTACTTGAGAATTGTAGGGGTCGAATTCTATTCGATTACATTTAAATAGTATCTACAAATACAAAACACCTATATCTATAAATATAACTAAAAATAACAATTAAAGAAGACAACCATGAATTTACCTCCGTGCCAGTTATGCCTTAAAAGATGTCCAAGTTTTTGAAAATGCATTTAAAAATTACACATATTTTCAAAAGATATTTCAATAATGAATATAATACTTAAAGTAGTGTTGTCCGAATTCGGAAATTTATCGGTTACCCGCGAACAATTTGTTGAAAACCACAAAAATGTTTATAAATTCTTATTTTTCCATTGACTGTACCGGTCTGTTTTAATAATGACAGCAGTGCTATGTTGCACGAGAGTGGGATTTCCCTGGATTCCCGAGGGATTTCGAAACTGGCTTTTCCAGCTTAGTTTGACCAACGGCGTTTATATAAACAACTCACAACAATGTGAATGGCGACGTCGACGTTATTATTCAATTCAGTTATTGTTAATACATACTCGGACGCGCGTACAACGGACAAGCCTTTGAAAAAAAGGATTTTAGGCTGAACGTTAAACGGATAGAAGTACCGTCGGCGTTGCATAGAAAAAACCGGCAAACATCATCAATTGTCGACTCGGTTGAGGTTACACGGGCCAAATCCTTATTCGACAGCAGAAGAGGAGGTGTTTTCGGGTATTGTGCGCCCAAAGGATTTCCTGACCGTATTAGCCGACCACCGTATTGTTCAAAAATATGAAAATTTTTATAGAGAGAAAATATAAAGAAAACGAACGAATGGTTTCATACGGACTGATGCTAATGTCAACTACGAGCTCGTATAATACCTACTTAATGCTAATACTATAGCAATTACAATACTAATTTACTCAAAATTACCTACATCACTAAAGGATTAATATTATCACATTTTAAAGTGGTAATGTGGAATATGTTTATTTATTAACCACTATTATTTTAAAAATGCTAATTGTTATCAAATATCCTATAAAATAAAACGTACTAGTACTACTTACGGCTCTTTAAAATTATCTACTCGAATTTATTTAAAATAATAAGAGTTGAAAGAGTTTTAAATTATTTTTAAAGTTTAATTGAAATTTCAAGTAAGTTATAAAGGAATAGAAAAGTTACTTTTTAAAGGGTCGACTATGTTCATCTTATCGACTGACAGATTTTTAACATTCATCTTTTTGGGTGACTGAAAAAACTTTAAGCGATTATTACCTTGTTCATTTCTTTAATTAGTTGTGCCTCTGATAGGTACATTTTAAGGTATTCTTCCTTTAAAAAAACTAATTAATTTACGTAATTATCTATTAAGTACAGATATTTAATTTTTATTATGAGTAGTCGGATACTTAATATATAAAACATAAATCACAAACAGTACTACTTTATATATCTAAGTATAACACATGCAAAATTTAATGGACAATGTTAAAAAAATCCCATTTATAATGTATTTGATTACACATTGTTTGATATTTACTTCCTGGAAACATAATATAAAATTCTTAAAAACATTTTGTTTTTTTCTTTATATTTTTTAAATTTATAGTTAATTATTACTTTAGAGTACACCTTAAAGGAAAATTAACTTTTCAAAAAATGTATTTCAATTAACTAAATTAGTAAATATTCATAAAACTAATAACAGCAACGATTATTTATTACACCAATCTTTATTTAAACTTTATTGTTTAACCATAATTTACTGAGTTTCATAAAATGATAAAAGACCTTTATACCTTTAACCTCGGTAGTAAAAAAAAAAAATATTTAGTTCGATTTATTCCCAAATTTATTATTCTTTAATACTATCTACTGCTTTTCTGTTTTTTGTTACAATGGCAAGTAATATTAACAAATAAAGTATTTAATTAATAAATTGATAACCAACATTTAAGCAACTTATCAAATTCATCAATTCTTGTGAGTATTTCGGAAGCCTGTGAAAAATAAGACGTTAGAGAAATATATACAAGCCGGTCAACAGTAGTAGCGAAAGGGCAAGACACGTACACTGCGTTTGTTGTTGTCATACACGTAGCAGTCACGTAATAAGGGATATATTTTGGGGGAGGGATATACAGAAAAATATTATATTACCCCCTTCAAATTAATATAAATTGAATCTTCATTATGTTATCTTTTTTACTAGTAAAATCTATTCCACCACAATCGTTTCCATACTGGCACAAGAGCACCGCAATTATGATTTGCCCCAGCCCCCTAGCGCAGGTCAAAAGTTTAAGTTCATCTAAAATTATAATTATAAAATAACTAAGGTCTTTTTCAATTAATTCATATTTTAGATTGTTTGAATAAACCACTCAATTTTGATGAATTCAACTCAAGTTGGGAATCTAAACTTTTGATCGGTAGTGTACTTATATAAGTCATACGTTACTACAATATTGTTTTTTAGATAAAATTCAGTTAATTAAAATAACCGAAAAATAATCAATGGACTTTTACAGTTTGATTAAGTATCACTTAATAATTGTTTGTTACTTAATTAACAGCGATTTCCTAGAATTCAATAGGATAAATTAATTACTGTTATTTCAGTTAAAAATGATAAGGCCAACGATTTTTCTAAAAAAAAATCATTACAAGGGCTTCGTTGAAAAATAGTTTAAAGTCTAACATTGGCGACACAACAATGTGTTTGTATATAATGAAATTAGTAATAATAAAAGTAACAATATTTACAGATTCAATGTACCACTCAATAACTGTGTTTGGAATGTACGATTATCCTTAATTAATAAAGTACAGATTCAAACAGTAACAGTTGAACCTAATATAAACTTCCAGAATAATATTGACACATAAAATGATAAAAATAATTGTATTTGACCAAAAACATTGTTTTTGATGAGATTATTTTCAATCACCCAAATGAAAGATAATTGTTATTCTTTTAGGCATCCTTCAATTTTCCATTATTAAGATAATTATTTTTGTACACAAAGGAGTAGGAAATATAATTAGCAGTTAACACTTTTTAAAATATTAATGAAACAAAACAATTACATTATGGAATCATAAAAATATAATTATAACATGATTATTGAAATAAAAGTATATAATTAGCGTTTAATAGACTTTATAGACATTTTTATCTAATAAAATGTATTTCAAGCTTAATGTTAGCAAAATTTTGATACATTTTGCGAAAACAGATTTTGATTTTGAAATCAAAATTATTTTATTTGTAATGTGAAAATGTTTTCCAAATATTTTTACTAATCACATATTTAAATTTCTATTTTTTTCTGTTAATTTGTTTAATTTATTACTAAATAAATCAGAGAAAGAGGCCGATTATATTGAATGTATCTTAAAACACAATATTTAAATAAAAATAAATAACAAAAGAGTTAAAAATTCTATTTACTCTACATATATTCAATTACATATAAATATACAAAAAATAAAATTTCTTCAGTATTCAAATAATTTTTTTGACTAAATAGTTAAGAAAATATTGACACATTGAGACTAATGAAAATATTTGTCACCATTTTCACCCTAATTAAAGTAGTTGGAAAAAATATTTTAAGATATAAGTTTTTATATTTAGACTTAATTAATTTTGTCTTAGTAAGGTGTATATCATACGTTTAAAAAACTTTAAATAGAACCCGTGCTTCAAATAACCATTAAAATTATTTATAGAAATTTCTTAGAATAGTGTAAAATTGGTTGAACCTTATACACCGCGTCCTTCGTCTTATTTGTGTCTAAACTTTGTACGCCTTACCAGAGCTTCTGACTGGAGAAATATATATGAAATTGTTGACGGATGTACAGTATTACATACTACAGTAACCTTGACTCGAACTAAAGATACACACTTCCAGGGTGACATTAGCCATCATCGTTGCAATGACGTTTGTATCGCAGCGGTTTTTGATATCGGTTCTTTCCACATAAGTCGTATTACGTGTTGTTTCTCTCTCGGACAGAAATATCATTTTCCCCTGAAAATATGCCTATATTACTGGTTATTTAATAACTCCATGTACACAACACTGACCTGCGCTTGACTCATCCTCACACGAACGACAAGGCCGGTCGTTAATGACGTTAGATTACCATTACACGATGCTACCGAATTTCATTGTGTTTGGTCTGCCAGACGGGTCTTCGATTCGGTTTTTCTGAGAATATCTATTTTTTCGGTCAACTAAAACAACACCCGAGGCAGAAAAACACGCGTAGACATGACATGACATCCACGAGCTTTCCCTCTCTAAACACCTGAGCATACCCGGACGGACTTGGTTTCCTCGATCGTGGACCGACGACGGACTGTGCGGGGAAGGCGATCTAAAAGAGGGGAAAACTTTAACGGTGGTGTACGACATCGTCACAGTTGCTACGCTCTTTTGTTTCCCCGTTTCCCCCACCGTGTCATTACGAAAACGAAAAAAAAATCACACGTCTCGGGGCGATATTGGTAAAAACAATTAATGGGAGGTCCTTGTCCACCTGCTGCTATACCTGTATGATATGCCCTGCGGCCCCTTCCACCCGGTAATTATTACAGCTCGGCTCGTGTCCTCGGAGTGGACTCAATATCATAACAAAATATCATCAACCACAGTAGTCATCGTGACACTACCGGCGAATGAACCCAGCAAGACGTTTAAAATTACATTAACAGCGCAATCTCCCACTGAACAACAATTATTGCAGCGATGGACATGAACTTCGGCACCCTATTAGATTTGGACCGCGGTCAACCCGGTAAGTACAATCCATAATAGTACACTTAATTATTACGGTCTTATCTTTCTTCTGTTTGCCAGTACCTCGTCCTGCGTGTGTACAATAGCGCACACAATCGTCGGCAATAAATAGTTTACGGTTTGATAACGACACGTATTGATGATTGCATATCGTAACGTGGGATCTATCGGCCGATCATTGTGTTGTGTTTGCTTATCTCGATAGTTGCGTTGCCGTGTGCTAAATTTAACATATTTTTCAGACTTGGAACCAACGTCAGGTAACTCGTCAGTCCCGACCACGGCACCCGTCGTCACCGTGTCCAGCAGTACGCTTTCAGACTTGCCACCGGCCACGCCGTATCCGCAGAACATGAACGCTCATCTCCACGGCTATGACAACGTGGTGTCCAGTTACAGCAGCTATTGCAATAGCACGTTCGATCCGTACTATGCGCAGGCTTTCGCTCCGCTGCCGCCTTACACAGGTATAGTTAATCGTTTGTACTTAATGTGTAAGCACCTGGAAAATGATTTCTCTAGAAAATGTCCAACATTTGCGTCTTATGGTCTATTTTTTATTTACGTTGATAATAATTTATCAATATTTAATCCGAGTCCAAACGGTAGGCCCCGTCACACGAGACCTATTATCACATTTTATTTTTACGATTTAAGTTTGTAATTTTAATTCAACGAATATTATTATTATTTCATCTCGATTCGCCGGAAGCCAAACAAATGTTAAAATGCTTTATCGTTTTAGCCTTACAACGCACTACTGCAACAGCTGAATTCCATTTGTATTAAACAGTATTTATATACCAAGTTAATAGTCCAACAGGTTTTACTGTATAGTACCTTACGTTGTTTACATAGTTTACAATTCAAATGTCGTCTTTACGACGTGCTGGACAACATGTGTGAATATTTTTCTTTTCTGCGTATCGCAACTAATTTTTATTACCTTTAGAAACTTTAAATACAATATAATTTACAATGTATTTTTTTTTTGTAAAACTTTACCCGTTGCTTTTAATCCATGCCGCTATGTGCTAGTAACACATACTCGACTCGAGTTTGATAACAGTATCATTTTAACCGGATTTCAATATAAGTTTCTTATATAGGAAGGCGTGGCTAACTATTGCTGTCTTTTTAAAACTCATTTAACTTACTAAAATTGACGATAAATCGTATTACTGTAGTCAATGAATTACCTAGTAATTTTTTTATCGACCTTTAAGTTTTTTAAATGACAATTAAAACTTTTCAGAAAAAATTTGCGCTGTTAGCAATTTGATTTTCCTTAATTCAGTCGACGTATTCTATCACGTTTTAATTAAATTCACGTTTCCAATTTATCTATATAATTCAACTTGTTATTAATATAATTTAGTTATCGCTACTAAAGAAATAAATAACATCGTTAATAATTAACTTTAAATTATAATTATTTAAAATGCAAACTAATGTCGATGCATTGCCGATAGCGCACTTTAGAAATGACAAAAAAAAAAAAATCATTATAAAATTAAACTATAGTTGCACAATAATTTAATTGACGGCATCTATTTTTACAGACATAAGAAATGCTGTCCCTCTACCTCAGCCGCAGGGACCGCAAGCGGGTGCAAGAAAGAGGGAAAAACAAAAGCGCCAGAGAACGGCGTATTCAAGCGAACAGTTAATGCATTTGGAGGAGTCGTTCACGGCCAATCAATATTTAAACAGGGCCCGGAGGATAGATTTGGCACGGACACTGAGACTCACGGAAAGGCAAATAAAAATATGGTTTCAAAACAGGCGCATGAAAGAGAAGAAATCTAAAAGAGATTCCGGTAAGGCCTCGTGATTTCTATAAAATGTAAAACACACGTTTACTACAACGGCTAGATGTTATCAGAAGGTGACTCGGGGGCAACGACATATAATCCCGAGAATTGGTGTCCTATCTGTTGTCGAAAATCGTTGTTATGGTCCTATCAATCGACTAGCCATCAATTTCTGACTGCGTTTCCGACGATTATCACTTAGTTTTGTTATTCTATTATTATGTTACACCGTATTAAATTGTAATGTCCATTAAGGGAAAACACATATTCCTTCTCTCGTACTCCGTTGAAATCTGTCAACTTCAGATAGCGCGTTATCAAACATTTGTATGTTGTAGTATTTTGCGTTAATCCCGACGCGGTCGTCGTCGACCTCAGGATTTCTGATAAATTAATAATAATCGGTTCATGAAAACAAATATTGCATACCGAATGTTACAATAATTGTAATTTTGTTTATAGGTCAAGTTGAATCGACGAGTGGCGGCAGTACGGTGTGCGCACCGGCCGGGCCCGGCTCAGGCGGCTCTCTCACGCCCAAAATGCTCCGATACAGTCCGACCAGTTCGTACTCCACGTCATCTCCGCCAATCCAACTCATCGAACAACAACCGCAGGGTCCATCCACCACACTGCATCACTATTCATACGCACCCGACATGTACGCGTGCCAGATACCGCCGCCGCCGCCGTCTTACGAACAGGCCGTCATGCACGATCAGATGCCGTGGTACAACACAGAAGCGGGCCTATGATGTCTATCCGTTTGCTCTCATTTCCGTCCCACTGACAGCTGCCCGGCATCCGGCGAGCGCTTCTCCTTAGCCAGCCTATGCGACGAGCTTCCGACGAGAACAGTCAAACACCATTGACGAAACCAGTCACGCCCGAAGCTCGCCCCATCGGACAGTTTTCGTATGTTTCATGGAGAATAGCTCGCCGAGTACGAGCGTCATGCAATCATTTTTGGAAAATATGTGCTTATAATTAAATTTTATTTTGTACTATTTTAACTTTAGTACATGTTTTCCACTCGGAGATTATTGGCGGATCTCAGTTAGCCATTTTTTTTTTTTTTTNATTGACACATAAAATGATAAAAATAATTGTATTTGACCAAAAACATTGTTTTTGATGAGATTATTTTCAATCACCCAAATGAAAGATAATTGTTATTCTTTTAGGCATCCTTCAATTTTCCATTATTAAGATAATTATTTTTGTACACAAAGGAGTAGGAAATATAATTAGCAGTTAACACTTTTTAAAATATTAATGAAACAAAACAATTACATTATGGAATCATAAAAATATAATTATAACATGATTATTGAAATAAAAGTATATAATTAGCGTTTAATAGACTTTATAGACATTTTTATCTAATAAAATGTATTTCAAGCTTAATGTTAGCAAAATTTTGATACATTTTGCGAAAACAGATTTTGATTTTGAAATCAAAATTATTTTATTTGTAATGTGAAAATGTTTTCCAAATATTTTTACTAATCACATATTTCTATTTTTTTCTGTTAATTTGTTTAATTTATTACTAAATAAATCAGAGAAAGAGGCTGATTATATTAAATGTATCTTAAAACACAATATTTTAAATAAAAATAAATAACAAAAGAGTTAAAAATTCTATTTAACTCTACATATATTCAATTACATATAAATATACAAAAAATAAAATTTCTTCAGTATTCAAATAATTTTTTTTACTAAATAGTTAAGAAAATATTGACATTGAGACTGATAAGAATATTTGTCATCATTTTCACCCTAATTAAAGTAGTTGGAAAAAATATTTTAAAGTATAAGTTTTTATATTTAGACTTTATTAATTTTGTCTTAGTAAGGTGTATATCATACGTTTAAAAAACTTTAAATAGGACCCGTGCTTCAAATAACCATTAAAATTATTTATAGAAATTTCTTAGAATAGTGTAAAATTGGTGAACCTTATAACACCGCGTCCTTCGTCTTATTTGTGTCTAAACTTTGTACGCCTTACCAGAGCTTCTGACTGGAGAGATATATATGAAATTGTTGACGAATGATGTACAGTATTACATACTGCAGTAACCTTGACTCGAACTAAAGATACACACTTCCAGGGTGACATTAGCCATCATCGTTGCAATGACGTTGGTATCGCAGCGGTTTTTGATATCGGTTCTTTCCACATAAGTCGTATTACGTGTTGTTTCTCTCTCGGACAGAAATATCATTTTCCCCTGAAAATATGCCTATATTACTGGTTATTTAATAACTCCATGTACACAACACTGACCTGCGCTTGACTCATCCTCACACGAACGACAAGGCCGGTCGTTAATGACGTTAGATTACCATTACACGATGCTACCGAATTTCATTGTGTTTGGTCTGCCAGACGGGTCTTCGATTCGGTTTTTCTGAGAATATCTATTTTTTCGGTCAACTAAAACAACACCCGAGGCAGAAAAACACGCGTAGACATGACATGACATCCACGAGCTTTCCCTCTCTAAACACCTGAGCATACCCGGACGGACTTGGTTTCCTCGATCGTGGACCGACGACGGACTGTGCGGGGAAGGCGATCTAAAAGAGGGGAAAACTTTAACGGTGGTGTACGACATCGTCACAGTTGCTACGCTCTTTTGTTTCCCCGTTTCCCCCACCGTGTCATTACGAAAACGAAAAAAAAATCACACGTCTCGGGGCGATATTGGTAAAAACAATTAATGGGAGGTCCTTGTCCACCTGCTGCTATACCTGTATGATATGCCCTGCGGCCCCTTCCACCCGGTAATTATTACAGCTCGGCTCGTGTCCTCGGAGTGGACTCAATATCATAACAAAATATCATCAACCACAGTAGTCATCGTGACACTACCGGCGAATGAACCCAGCAAGACGTTTAAAATTACATTAACAGCGCAATCTCCCACTGAACAACAATTATTGCAGCGATGGACATGAACTTCGGCACCCTATTAGATTTGGACCGCGGTCAACCCGGTAAGTACAATCCATAATAGTACACTTAATTATTACGGTCTTATCTTTCTTCTGTTTGCCAGTACCTCGTCCTGCGTGTGTACAATAGCGCACACAATCGTCGGCAATAAATAGTTTACGGTTTGATAACGACACGTATTGATGATTGCATATCGTAACGTGGGATCTATCGGCCGATCATTGTGTTGTGTTTGCTTATCTCGATAGTTGCGTTGCCGTGTGCTAAATTTAACATATTTTTCAGACTTGGAACCAACGTCAGGTAACTCGTCAGTCCCGACCACGGCACCCGTCGTCACCGTGTCCAGCAGTACGCTTTCAGACTTGCCACCGGCCACGCCGTATCCGCAGAACATGAACGCTCATCTCCACGGCTATGACAACGTGGTGTCCAGTTACAGCAGCTATTGCAATAGCACGTTCGATCCGTACTATGCGCAGGCTTTCGCTCCGCTGCCGCCTTACACAGGTATAGTTAATCGTTTGTACTTAATGTGTAAGCACCTGGAAAATGATTTCTCTAGAAAATGTCCAACATTTGCGTCTTATGGTCTATTTTTTATTTACGTTGATAATAATTTATCAATATTTAATCCGAGTCCAAACGGTAGGCCCCGTCACACGAGACCTATTATCACATTTTATTTTTACGATTTAAGTTTGTAATTTTAATTCAACGAATATTATTATTATTTCATCTCGATTCGCCGGAAGCCAAACAAATGTTAAAATGCTTTATCGTTTTAGCCTTACAACGCACTACTGCAACAGCTGAATTCCATTTGTATTAAACAGTATTTATATACCAAGTTAATAGTCCAACAGGTTTTACTGTATAGTACCTTACGTTGTTTACATAGTTTACAATTCAAATGTCGTCTTTACGACGTGCTGGACAACATGTGTGAATATTTTTCTTTTCTGCGTATCGCAACTAATTTTTATTACCTTTAGAAACTTTAAATACAATATAATTTACAATGTATTTTTTTTTTGTAAAACTTTACCCGTTGCTTTTAATCCATGCCGCTATGTGCTAGTAACACATACTCGACTCGAGTTTGATAACAGTATCATTTTAACCGGATTTCAATATAAGTTTCTTATATAGGAAGGCGTGGCTAACTATTGCTGTCTTTTTAAAACTCATTTAACTTACTAAAATTGACGATAAATCGTATTACTGTAGTCAATGAATTACCTAGTAATTTTTTTATCGACCTTTAAGTTTTTTAAATGACAATTAAAACTTTTCAGAAAAAATTTGCGCTGTTAGCAATTTGATTTTCCTTAATTCAGTCGACGTATTCTATCACGTTTTAATTAAATTCACGTTTCCAATTTATCTATATAATTCAACTTGTTATTAATATAATTTAGTTATCGCTACTAAAGAAATAAATAACATCGTTAATAATTAACTTTAAATTATAATTATTTAAAATGCAAACTAATGTCGATGCATTGCCGATAGCGCACTTTAGAAATGACAAAAAAAAAAAAATCATTATAAAATTAAACTATAGTTGCACAATAATTTAATTGACGGCATCTATTTTTACAGACATAAGAAATGCTGTCCCTCTACCTCAGCCGCAGGGACCGCAAGCGGGTGCAAGAAAGAGGGAAAAACAAAAGCGCCAGAGAACGGCGTATTCAAGCGAACAGTTAATGCATTTGGAGGAGTCGTTCACGGCCAATCAATATTTAAACAGGGCCCGGAGGATAGATTTGGCACGGACACTGAGACTCACGGAAAGGCAAATAAAAATATGGTTTCAAAACAGGCGCATGAAAGAGAAGAAATCTAAAAGAGATTCCGGTAAGGCCTCGTGATTTCTATAAAATGTAAAACACACGTTTACTACAACGGCTAGATGTTATCAGAAGGTGACTCGGGGGCAACGACATATAATCCCGAGAATTGGTGTCCTATCTGTTGTCGAAAATCGTTGTTATGGTCCTATCAATCGACTAGCCATCAATTTCTGACTGCGTTTCCGACGATTATCACTTAGTTTTGTTATTCTATTATTATGTTACACCGTATTAAATTGTAATGTCCATTAAGGGAAAACACATATTCCTTCTCTCGTACTCCGTTGAAATCTGTCAACTTCAGATAGCGCGTTATCAAACATTTGTATGTTGTAGTATTTTGCGTTAATCCCGACGCGGTCGTCGTCGACCTCAGGATTTCTGATAAATTAATAATAATCGGTTCATGAAAACAAATATTGCATACCGAATGTTACAATAATTGTAATTTTGTTTATAGGTCAAGTTGAATCGACGAGTGGCGGCAGTACGGTGTGCGCACCGGCCGGGCCCGGCTCAGGCGGCTCTCTCACGCCCAAAATGCTCCGATACAGTCCGACCAGTTCGTACTCCACGTCATCTCCGCCAATCCAACTCATCGAACAACAACCGCAGGGTCCATCCACCACACTGCATCACTATTCATACGCACCCGACATGTACGCGTGCCAGATACCGCCGCCGCCGCCGTCTTACGAACAGGCCGTCATGCACGATCAGATGCCGTGGTACAACACAGAAGCGGGCCTATGATGTCTATCCGTTTGCTCTCATTTCCGTCCCACTGACAGCTGCCCGGCATCCGGCGAGCGCTTCTCCTTAGCCAGCCTATGCGACGAGCTTCCGACGAGAACAGTCAAACACCATTGACGAAACCAGTCACGCCCGAAGCTCGCCCCATCGGACAGTTTTCGTATGTTTCATGGAGAATAGCTCGCCGAGTACGAGCGTCATGCAATCATTTTTGGAAAATATGTGCTTATAATTAAATTTTATTTTGTACTATTTTAACTTTAGTACATGTTTTCCACTCGGAGATTATTGGCGGATCTCAGTTAGCCATTTTTTTTTTTTTTTACTTTTGTTTACTAAAGTCTGTACATACTTATAACTATTATTTTTATTATAATTATTATTATACATAGGCTGTAATCATTATATTTAAAGCCTAGTCTATTTCTGTAGAATTTAAAAAAAATACATAAAAATAATAATAATATGAATATAAAATTTCTAATTAAAATAGGCGCTTATTTTATATTCATTTTATCGACTTATAAATAGTACCTATTTTATATTATAATTATTATTACTTTTTGTTATTTACTACTTACTCTCTTAAAACAGTCCCAATTACTTATGAATGTTATTTGACCTTTAACATAATGCCTATAGCCGTGATGTTAATATTTTTGTTCAAGACCAATAAAACGTTTTTCGTCGGCAAGATGGTGCACAAAGTATATTACAAAAAAAATATCAATTTAAATTTTAGTTGTTAATATTGTTACGTTTTGATAACCAGTATTATTAATTGTTGTATTAGACAATGCTTTAATCTTTACTTGTACATAAAGTTAGTTTTTATAAATTAATGACGCTATACATTATATTTTACTTGCTAAGTTTTATATATGCATTGATTTTATCAGTTCTTCCATCTTATTGTATGTGTGATGTGATCCTCTGTAATTAGTTTAAATAGAAATATATGAAATTAATTCTACAACGTTTTCATATCTATCTTTTTAATTTCGTTTTGCAAAACTTTATGATTGTAAGTTAAGAGTATTGAGAATATTACGTTGTGATTACTATTTTAAGTAATTTTACACGTAAGTAAAGTGCACTAATTGTTAAAGATGCCAATCAAATTATGTCGTTTATTATCTATTTTTCACTAATATATAATAATTGAAGGATGCAGCAGTGGTAATAATCGATTTTTGTAAAATTTTCGGGAGAGCAGAAATTAAGTTATAAATTCTTTTATTTTTTTAATGATAAAACAGAATAAACAAATAGGACCATTTTTATTTTTTGAAAATTATAGAACATAAGATACTATTAATTTATAAAAAGAAAAACTCGTAATGTTTTATACTTTTAAAGGTATTGCGTGAGTTATAGTTAAACAATCTCTCTGTNCGTGAGTTATAGTTAAACAATCACTCTGTATTAGAGAAAAGTAAATATTTTTTTATCGTCGAATGTATTTCATTACTTGATACTGCTGCTCTGATATATTAGTTTATAAGCTATCGAATCAAATCATAATAAACAGACTGTTTTTCCCTTGTACCTTTCGATTGTTAAGGTTATGATAACTAAGAATTCCAATATGATAATTTTTTAAAAGTGTTAACAAACGGTATTCGTGTTTTATTATAAATTATGATTTTTTATGGAACTATAATCACTTTTGTTACAGTTTAATAAACTATAAAAACAATCTTAGGCTGTTAAAAAGGGTTTTTTTAAATATTCCATTCTAACATCAATGAAGAATTGAAAAATTGTTTCCCGGTACCTTTAACGACATTATGAGTACAAACGCTTGTTTTCTCCTCAGTACTCCGTGTGACCACCAACGACTCCCTTTGACATTTTAATAGTAAACTTTGTCTGTCTATTTTGTTGCCCTTTCATTTTGATTAATGCGCTACAGTCGCCGTCGACCAAAAGAAAACCTATCATATAAATATTAAAAATGTAAAAACAGGAAGGAGTAGACATTTTCAAGTAAAGTTAAAAACGAAGACTTAGTAATTAATGCATTCAATTGAAAATCATTGTATTCGTAATATTTCTGTAATGAAGTAGACTACCGGTACTCGATCAATTAGTAATGAAGAATATAGACGTTTGATGAGTGTTGAAGAAATTTTACACTTTAACAAAAAAAAATAAACCGATAAGAGTCAAATTACTAATAAACTGTAAAAAAATACTTTTAAACTTAAGCAGTACGAATGTATTTTTACACGTTTATTTGGTGTCATTAAGTCTCGTGTAGAATGGGAAATAAGTTTGGATTTCTCGCGCTCATCGTTTTCCGTAAGTGATCAACGCGTCCCGTTATGCATTCCCCTAAATATTTTATGATACAGTTGCACATTATACATACGATATGGTTTTTGGACTTAATAGCAAAGCTGTTGGCAGATCTATTGTACGCGATGGCGATTGAGAGTTCGCTCTCGCATTGCACCCCTCTCTCCATTTATGTCGGTAACTTTCCTGATCTATATTGTATATAACCGCGTACGATCATTACACGCTCCGTTTAAATTAATATCCTGCCCTTCCGCGTCCATGACGTCTCCCATTAACCTCACCCCAAAATACCGCTCAACTAGAGTAGGTTCCGTTTTAGACAGTACTCGGATTATGCCTCCCCTCGGTATAGTGCACGACCGCTGACAACGCTCGATCTAAGCCACCGCGACATCGCGGTTGTCGTCGAGCTTTAATTAGCGCCGGGCTTGTTCCACGATTATATCTGCGTTGATTCTCGAGCGCCGCGCATTAGTAGTGTCTTAACGCACAATGTACTGCGACAAACCTCGTTGGGCGACGACTTCCGAACGGCGAGCGGCCGCGATATCTCAAGCCGCTTATTTCCTCTGTCCACACGCCGAAAGGGGAAATACGATGGCACGCACTGTCTCTCGCTTATAAGACATCTTGAACTTCGGTTTGAGAACGCGGTGCATCCTCACAAAAATTCATTATCATCTTGTTATCAAGCGTACAGTTCGATAATATACCTGTGATGACGTAACATTAGAAACAACAGTCTGATATGCATTTTAATCTACTCCATACACGTTCATTTTATGCCATCAGTTGTTTTTTTATTGTTTATTTGCATACCGTTTATATTATTTCTTCATGTTTTTTCTTATACACATAAATGTAGTGGTCATTTGTAATGAAATATTATCTCATAATTTGATGATAATGCGACATTAATAGTTTGCTCATAATTATTATTATCAATGCATTTTTTAAATTTTAATTTTAACACTAAAATATATAAAATATTCATATGGATATCAATTTAATTGTTAATGTTGACATTGAATTTATTTACGATAAACAAGACCTACCCGAATTAGTTATACACCGACATTATTAAATTGTTCGACCGTAACAATATTATATTTGGCGTGTTTCAAGTAGAGCTGTGTTTTCTCCCAGCTCATACCTTTTCAAAATAAAATTATAGTACTGTAGACATAAGATTACATGTACTAATTAACCATTGACGTTTGATATTAAATACAAATTTTGAATAATATTGAAGCGTTGCTTAAATGGCGTTTATGTAACAAATCAATTTCAACAGTGCGCACAACTAGACAGTTGAGTTTTACATTTCAATACTTGCACAGAAATGAGAAATGCGTACTCGGATATCTATTGAATAGGAATCCTAATCAACTGTTTCAAAAAAAAATTATTACGGTTTCGTTAATATAAAGACACTTGTCATCTAATTGAATTTTTTATAACATTACCAAATAGTCATAATACCAACTACCTGAACGCATGTTCAATAATTACTTAATCATGTTCAGCCGGGCATCCTTTCAAATTCATTACTCCGACTAAATTTGACCGTAATGACGAACTAACTGAGACCTGAATACTATTAAGTGTTAACTGACGTGTTTTAAGCTAATTCAATTATCTTTTCAACGTCATTTAGTAGTAATACGTTTTCGCAGTAGTTACTACTGCGAGACAAATAATCGTGACGTTTAACATCAGCTAATTAAATTTTAAAAGCTGTATGTAATGACATTGTGGAAAAGAAACATTTTTCCTATTCTTAGGCCACTTTACTTTAGAATTAAGTCAAAAAGCTAAAAGCTTTTATTTTCTTAAATATAAGACGTTCAATTCTGCCACACCCAATTTAAAAAGCTCTATACAAATATTTCAATTTAGATTTTCTATAAAATTTCTGAATATTCTTAAGAATATATCTATTCATAATATAATAATATAAGTATCAGTTATTTTACTGGTTTTTATTTTGCAGGGTAAAAAATAAATTAGAATCCACCTACTATTCAATTTAAGAACAATTTATAGAACCGTTCCTGCTTTTCTAATGATTTTTTTTTTCAGAAATCAGTAGAATAATCAAATATATTTTTAACATATAACTTAATTTTATATGGGAAAAAACAGTGCTGGTGCAAGGGCGGGACAATGGGAGCCCCAGGCCCCTGTGCTTTGTGGGGCTTTGCACATTGCATTTGCGTATTTAAGGTTTTGTTTGGGGGGAGGGATATCCATAAGAAAAATGTTTATTATGCCCTCAAAACGAAATAAAAATTGTATCTGTAATAATTTTTACAAGAGAATCTATGCCCTTTAACTCCTTCCTTTCTAAAACAAGGGCCCGGCAAATATTATATGCACTCGGACATAAATAAAATTATAAATTATAATAAAATAGTATAATCAAATCAATGATGTAATTGTTCAATATGTGTAATGTTATGCTGTACAAACAAACGTATTTAATTTCGTATAAATAATCCAATTTATTGTTGTTATTAATTTTCTTTAAAAATTGAAAAGGAATACCGATGTCGTTTAGAAAAAAAAATATGTGCAAACGCTACTCAAGTTTGTACACTGAACTCGGTTCGTTTTTCGATTCCGGTTATTATTATGTGCCAGCTGTATACTTCGAGATTCGACACATTCCGCATGCGTTTTTATGGTGGTTATAGCGAACGGGTGAGGGGATCTAAAGTGCTCTCCCCCGTTTTTGGGTCGTCCTATCATATCCGTCATAGTGCGCAAACGGGCAGCAGTAGGATACTTGCAGTGACGACAGTTCGCAAAGAAAGTTTTATTAAATATCTATTCGCACATCGGGTTCCCTTTGGAATCGCCTACGCCGATGAGATTTCACATGTTATACTTACAGAACGTGTGTGTTTATATATATACATGTGAACGTATCGCACACAACTATAGTCGTATACAGTTTGACGTTTGAGTGACGGCCGTCGCGTCGAAACAAAATGTCTTCTCTTCGACCCATCGCACAGTGCTGGCAGTGAACAGCATCCACGTCGCACTTCGGCCTGTCCGGTGAGGAGAGGGAACGCCAATGCTGGCAAACGTCCATTATTGCGTTCTATCAGCGACGTTATTATGTCTTGCTTACGTTTATCTTACTCCGTTACTTCACTGTCCCACTACCAGCGTATTTGACATGTACAACGATAATTCTACTTTTCCATTATTATATCCACGACACGTTTGCAATTATCTGATTAGTAGATATTGTATACACGCCTTAGCAAAATAATAAAAAATGATGATGATCGAAGTTAAAATTAGCCGTATCAGGTTAAACTTTAACGTTTGATTAGACGTCGCAGATAGTATCAGACAGAATGAGCACTAAGTACAAACAAGAGAAACGCACTCCCAGTTATAAGTAATAATTAATTTTACTTCTCGGGTGGAGAACACGTCGTCCATCGATTCCATCCCCTGAGAGCTGTACACGTTTTCTCGTCCTCTCTAATGTACATAAGTTTAAAAGGCAAGGTAAAAATAAATTTATTTATACATTTTATTTATTTAATATATATATAAACATAGTACATTTAATTAATTGAACATCACAAAGCTAGAGTAAACTTATTATAAGTTAAGACATAAATAACGAAATGGATAAACAGTTAATTTAAGTAACTTATTTAATGATGGAAATTAAATGAAAGTTGTATAAATAATTGATAAAAAAATAAAATAAAATAAGATTAATTAAAAGGAAACGCCGTTTTGTATAACAGACTACATTAAATAAAATTTAAATGAAAATACATTTATTGTTATTTGTATTGTATGTGCCCAACAGTTTATTATTTTTGTTAGTATTATTAAAATTTATCAATATGCCAAAATATTTTAGTTAAAAATAAAACAAAACCATAATATCATTTAATTATTATCTATTTTAGAGATAATTTATCCTCATTAAAAATTTTGTATAAAAATAATATTTAGGTGCATAATAAGATTAATGCAACATAAAACAACTTCAGACAACTTAAAATAATCGGTTTATCATTAATAATTTCATGGTTTTACTAAATATTATGGATTATTTATTTATTAAACTTATTGACTAACGCTATCTATCTGTCTATAGGAGATTTTATATATCAAATAAATCGCCAACTGAATTATTAAAAAACTGCTTAAGTATTTGCCATAAGTTATCAATAATGAATTAATATAACTAATAGTGTAAATTATGATGCAACTTGATTAAGAAATTATTAAACACTTCTATATTTCTTTAAAAAATCTTTTAAGAGCAGCTTAATTTATTGAAAAACATTTATAATTAATATTTTTGTATCGCTAATCTGTAGTGCAGGCAACGAGATTGTATTATTAAGCATTGCAATTTTATGTTTTTGTCTTACATTACACTAATTAACGCAATTATGTGTATACTTCTTATTCGAAATTATAAGAATTTGCCAAAAACGCATTGCAGATGTTATGAGTTGAGTCACTTCAATGCAATATTTTCTGATTCCATTCAAGTAATGATTGATGAGGATCGCTCTCGATTGACCGTAACAATTCTAGTCCGAGTTGTTTACAAATTTAAACATGTCAATTTCGATTTGTAAAGAAATCTATTAGAAAATTAAAAACAAATGAGAGGGTAATTAATTTTTTTAGTTACTTAGCAAAGAGTAAAAAAAATATTAATGTAAAAAAACAAATATTTGAGAATTGTAGCAGAAATTCATGAGATAGACTATTTTTATTAATACACAGTTTATTGGTTCTGAGTAAATGGTTAAAATAGTTCGATAATAACTTTTCGGATACAATTACCGTTTTAAAATATAGAGCAGAGGTGAAACGTAGATGTTTTTTTATCACTAGTCAATTTTCACCCGCACTCTTCCTCATACTTAGGTATAAAAGTGACAAAAACTTCAGAAATACTGGTTCAAAATTTGTTTTCGACCGATCATTTGCTTAATTAGATCATTATATATTAAATAAGCTAATTAATTGTATGTTTTCATTTAGAAAACAAAGTTGACACCCTTATAAGATATTAGGGATAAACATTAAAAATACTTCATGATTGATAAGTTGAGAAAAACATGTAAAAAAATTCTCAATTTCATTTTTATTTTTCGATTAATTAAGTGATTTATGATAAATGAATCATTCTGTATATTTTAAATATTAATAATTCTTAACAGAAGTAGTCACATCGCCGCCAGACATAAAAAATCCAAATACCATGAATTAAGTGTTCCATTTAAAACCTCATTCAATCTTAATTTCGTTATTAATAGAAAATTATTTACCAAGAAAATGCCGTAAGATGGCGCTAATTAACAATTTATTTAGAGTAACTAAAAGTTTCACAAAACAATATTAAAATTTTAATTAAACTGAAATGTTTTTAAACATTAGACATTTGTGATTTTTTTTGTAAACATATAATTTTAAAATGAAATTTGAATTGAAAATTATATTAAATTTTGCAAAATAACTCAAAAATAAAAAATTCTTTTAATTCTAATAATGAAAGACTTTCTAAAAAATTTTAATATAGATTAGGCCACCTCTCTTCATACCCCGCTCTGTCTGATATTATAAGATGAAGGGGCGTATTTAAGTTTAGGTTAAGTTATAATAATATCAATAATAATAATAATAATAATAATAATACAAACTAATTTATTGACACAGCCCGTTTACAAATGGGCTACGTAAAAATAATTTTGGTAGATATCATATTGTTATAATGGTTACCTAGTAACCAGTGTATTTATTTACTACACAATTATAATATACTTTTAACAAACTTGTCGTCAATAATATTGACAAGTTTGGAATCATCAGTATGTCTTTCAACACAACATCATTCGAGACGACGGTATTGATATAGTGTTGAGTTTTTGTGGCTTTGTGTCGCTCTCTAGTGTTATATATAACTATTTTTAGGAATTAAATGTTCGTTAGGAATTATTTTTTTAACTATAATTTTTATTATTATTTAATAAATTAAATACAACTTAAATATTAGTAACAATAGAAAAATATAATCTATATTTATCATATAAAACTAATTTTTATTACAGTTATGTGCTATTGAAAAAAAATGACAAAGCTAGCAACTTTTATTTATTTATTTTTTTGTGTCATTAATGTTTTAAAATTTTATAAAATAATTTATTTATATTATTAAATTATTTTAATATTTTATTATATACCCACATAATAGAGAAGGTATGTACTAAAATGTTTGTAACTTATAAGTACTTATCCTATTGTTCTTATAAACCCATTAAAATTATTTTCAAGAAAAGGCCTCTTCTTATCCAAGTTTTCTTAAATAGCAATTCGGAAAAAAAAATTGTGATGAATAAAAAAAGCGGTACTCCCCCTTTTGATATTATTTTCTGGTTGCATACTGGTTTATACAATTTATTTTGTATAAATCAGATAAAAACATATACAAATATATAACAAAGTAAAATAATGTGAAATTTGAAAAGCATGTTAATATCTTAAGGAATACAGATCCAAAAATTGTTATTAACCTGTTCTTTTCTTAATTACATGGTTATCTAATATAAATATAGTTAATAATGTATATTATCAAATGAAAAAATAATGTTGAACCCCTTATAAAGTATAAGGGATAAACATAAAAAATATTTCATGAATAATAAATTTAAAAATACTATGAACTGAAAGAAACTGATAACAAAATCAAAAATATTATCTTTATAACATGAAAGTCTTATTCAAATCTAGTCGATAATTAATAGTTATTAAAATTTAATAATTAAATGTAATAGTAATTGTTAAATATTCTGAACCGATAAAAAATTTTTTGCATCGAATAAAATCGAATATTCGAGTTAAAATGCCGAATAATATCAAATTTAAAAAAACCAGCACAATGGGAACGTGGTATAATAGAAATAAGTATAGATAATATCTGACAGTAATTAAAATCACTAGCATAAAAATGCTTTTATGCAAATCCGTAGATAGTATTTAACTTTTAACAAGAATTATTGGATTATTCTTATAGCAACACAAACTCATATTTCCTTAACTATATCCTGATTATAAGTTTTATAACTTACTATAAACATATTAAAAATTTAGTATTGTAATTTTTACGAAGAAATTTATTATTTAGTTGCATACTTTGTAACTCTATGACAATTCTGTATAAAAATTGGAAGTTGGGCTTATTAAAAGAAAAGAAATAAAATTCGATTATTCTGAACCTCGTTGTTAATTATAATTTTAGTTATAAAATTATAGAAGACTGGACATCACGACAATATTTTATTTTAACTTATAGAATGTAGCATAAGCTTCAATTGAATATATGTTTGGAATTCCGAGTATTTCTAGAAAATTTTCATAAATTAAGTTGAAAAAGATAACTTTTTATGAAAAAATGTAAATAAATAAATATGCAGCACAGTTAATACCTCCTAAGCTTTCATCAATAATAAAAATGTAGAGTAAAAATATTTAAAAGAAGAATCGACTACTTGGTGACTCACTGGATATGCATGGTGTTACATACTAACAAAAACTTAAATTTAACATATGTTTAAAGAGTGCAGTGTTTCTAGAATATTTTCAAAAGTTATCATTCGTGCAAAATTTTCTATTTTGAATCCTTCTGTAGGCTGGTCAGGGGTGTCATTTGGGGGGTCAGGGTGTGCGGTTGCACCTTTACTTTAAAAACAGTCCCAATTGGCCTGTAAAAATAATGCACCAATTTTTTATACATCACTTCAATTTCAAAAACATTGCATTATCATGGTCGGATTTGTTTATTGACATGGGTCAATAAACAAATATTCTGTTATCAATTAAAAGAGTAAAAAATAAATATATCATACTAAACCATCGTTATTTAAACCGGGCGTAAGATATTGATGTTCTTAACTGTTATCACGATTTTTTTGACATGCAGTTTATAGCAGTAATTGATAATGGTAATGAACTGATAAATATAAAATTCAACGATTGCTATGGCCCCGATGTTGCGTTATATTCTTTAATATTTACATAGTAAGTATTATTATACTTTATATTTACTACTTATTTTGATTGTGATTCATAATCTTTGGAAAAATTAGAAGATGAATAATTTACTTAAGTAAGTATAGTATTTTTATAATGCCTGATGAAATTTCATCACTGTAATCTCCTCTTTATACAGAATTTTAATTTAAAAATAGTGTGAGATATATTTACAAAAAAATATATTTACCTGTCAATTTTTTAAAAAGTTATGATAATTTATTAGAAAAATAAGATACAAAATAAAAAAATTTCAACACAGAAATAGCATGTTTTGTTACTATGGTAGCAAATTGGCACTTACAAGATGAAGTATAGAGACAAATTATTATTTTATAATTTATATTATATAATACAAGTTTTAATTTAATATATGTTTGAAGCATTAAGTATTTTTGAGAAAAAGTGGTTTTAAACATAAAAAAATATATAAATAAAGGCGCCATAATAAAATTAATACCTCTCAACTCTGCATCAATGCCAAAATAGATCCACATAAAACTTTTAATATAATAAAATATCTATTGGTGAACAATGACTTTATAGGTGATAGAAAATTAAATAAATAACATTAATTAAAAAACTCTTAAACATTAATAATTTTGGAATAGTTTTACTAAATAGAGTAACTTAATGTAAGATAAAAATATATAACTAATATACTGATTGATATTGTTAATATTCACCAATCGGTTTATTAATATTAATTTTGACAAATGGATTACAATATATTGTTTCTAAATACTCAAAACATCAATTAATATTAGAGAATTGTTTTCTTTTAGATTATTTATAAAAATATTAAAACTTAATTGAAGAGGAAGAACAAATTTATTAGCTTTTAAATATTAGTTAACTGAGTACATTCAATCTTGAAATAAAACTGAGTAATTGTCAATGAGATGACAAATCTCAGTAAGCCGAGATTTTTTGATCTGTCTTTGAAGCCTCTACTTTTAATTTAAAAATTATTTTTGATCATCTCCTTTTTATTACCACACAGTTTATTTTCTCTTAATCCTTCTGATGCTAGGGCTAATCATAGAGTCGAGTATGGATTAAAATTACTTACACAAGCTGTAATAATTTAATGAACAGTTTGTATTTATTAAAATAAATTTTTATTAAAAGAAATTAATTTATTAAAAATTCAAATTTAGTTTTTGTAACTTTATTTGATTTTAAGCAATAATTTATATTTATTTATATTCCTTTCTTCCAAGAAAATCAATGTTATCATTTATTTAAGTGTTATAAAAATGAATAGTTCAATTTGTCATATAACTATTAATTAATTTTTCTAATTTGATATAATACAAAATAAAAAAACCTGAAATGAAATTATTAAATTAATAATTTGGTACTTCATTTTGTTATAATTTTATTATATTATGTTGCCAGAGCACCAATGTTAATTGTAATATGTTGTATTGGTATGTTTCTTGAATTAAATTATAAAGTTATTTAAAGTGTATTGGAGAGCTACAGACTTAAGTATTAAAATTTATGTTTGAAGAATAAATAATGGTATTTGTTAATATATGATATAATTCATTTTATAGCAATAACTTAATTATTTAAAAATTAATAAGACTTTTTTTATTTAATTAAAATATATTTTTTTTTAATTTATCAATCATAAAGTATTTTTATGTTCATTCCTTAAACATAATAAGGTTGTCAACTTTATTTATCAAATGGTAGCATACAAAATGAACAAGTTAATTAAATAGACAATGATCTAATTAAAAAAATAGCTGGTCAATAATCATTTTTGAATCTAAATTACAATATAAAAGTTAGACGTTGATATTTTTATTTTCATCATTTGTTATTTCTGAACTGCACCTTCTTAATACCCAGGTATAGAAATGACAATAGCTAAAATAAATAAAATGATACAATAATCACTATAAAATGGATTATAGCACATTTCCAGGATAAAGTACAAGAGTTTTAATAGATTTAAAAATTATTAAATCCTACCATGATAACAATGCCAATAAGTTATAATTTTCAAATTGACATTTTTAACATAAACTTTTTTAGAGTTAAATATAGGAAATATCAATATTTTTATATTAATTCTGTGTTTTTATGTCATTAAATATTAGTTCTATTAATAAATCTTAAATTATAAACTTCTGACTTTTGAGGAATCATTTTTTAACCTTATCTTTTTTACCTTTATTTAACCTTAAATCATTATTGTCTTTTAGACATATTTTTCTTTGAAATATTATTATTGTCAATTATGCACATCATCTAATTGATATATATTTATACATTATATGTCAATATTTTTAATTCAATTAATTTAGAATTTATTTTTTATATAGATTAAAGATGACAAGACAAAACCTAATTCATGGATTAAGCCAATAGATATCAGCAGCTAATATTATTCCAACAAAGTAGTATATTTCTTGTCTACTTACATTATAACTCTAATGCTTCATGGATTTAATAAGTTCTGAACCAACAAAAATTAATGCAAATAAATTCCTACTTTATACATAAGTGAGAAAATATTGATTGATAAGGAATACTAAAAGAAATATTAATTTATATTATTAGATGTATATATAATTTAAGGCGACAGAAGTAGAGGTTCAAATAACTCATGGAAGACATTATATAAATATTCATTCGTTTTGTTATTTTTAATATAATATGATTACAAAATAAAATAGTTATAATTGGAGATGATTGAATTTACAAACCATCTCTTATCTATCTCCATGTAAGTTTTATAATAAAAAATCAAATGATTAACATAATCTATTATTTTCAATTATAAATGATAACGGGGCTTGATTAGGCTATTTATTTTGAAAATTGCACATTTTAGTAATAATTTTGTACGATAATTACTTATCAAGGAAAAATATTGTTGATAATATGTTATGTAATCATAAGAATATGGTTGAGGTATTGTNTAGTTTTAATATAGTAACAAATATGAAAACTTTGAAAATTATACAATTTAGTAATAATTCTATACGATAATTACTTATCAAAGAAAAATATTGTTGATAATATGTTATGTAATCATAAGAATATGGTTGAGGTATTGTATTCATAATGTTAAATGTACAATGTTACGGAGAAAATAACTTCCAAATTTTGAAGAACATAAGACTGGCGTTATGGTTGGTATAAGTGTAAATAATTTTAATTGCACAGCACATGTAAAGTACTTGTCTAAAAAAAAAACCAGTTCATCATATTGCCAATGAGCTGAATGACTCTAGTATATTTGGATAGATAGCGCTGACGTTACATTGCTCAAGATCTTTATTATTTAAAGTTTTAATATAGTAACAAATATAAAAATGTCAGTCACAAATTTTAGTAAACAGAATATTTAATTTAACAATTGAAATGTTTTAATTTTTAATAAAATTGCGGGTATTCAAAATTTAAGCCTCTAATGCTTTCTGATATCCATGGTTGACCGTTCTACAATATTTAATCTATTGAGCAATTTCATTTATTGCTTCAGACATTGAATTACAGATAACTCCGGCTCCCTCTCAATACGAATAAATCTTTCGCCTTTTACTAAAGATTTCCGTGGTGGGGAGCATTCAAAGGAGTCTAGAAATTTAATTTTTCCTAAATGGCCTGACTATTGTTGGGCTTCTATCGCTTTAATAATGTTCAGTGTAGATATAGTATAGTCGATCTTTGTGTGTATTTCGATTGCTGGTATGATAATGGTTTTATTATTCTTATTAATTCATTACATTTCCTTTCTGCTCTGTTATATAAGTAGATTTTCTAAAGTTAATTATCTTTTTATAAACTAATAAAGTTGAAATTTTTAGTTGTTCATGTATTCATCTCCAAGTATGTAAATAGAATCTTTGAAAGTAGTTTACAATTAATCATGGCATGTCCAATTCTAGCTTATATCCTCAATCTCTTTTTTTTGTTTTCCTCTATCTCTTTTTCGTTCAACATTAATTTCTAGAACTGTTCTTACAGCTTCCGATTCTTATCTTCTCATAACATGACCAAACTATCTTATCTACAATTGATGTTACACCTATACTCCCTCTTATATGTTCGTTTCTTATCCTATCTTCTCTAGTCACTCCATTCATCCATCTAAGCATTCTTACCTCTGCTCTACTTTCTTGTCAATTACCCAATACTCTGAATCAAACTGCAGTTTTATTGAATTTACCTTTTAGCCTTATTCAATTTATTTTATCGTATTACACACCAGACGCTTCTCTCCACTTTAACCATCCGCACCTAATCCTGTGTCTTACATCCTCTTCAATATCCCTTCTCATTTGCACAACTGATCCTAAATACTTAATCTTTCCTCGCCTATTGTCACTGAACTCTTCATTTCACCTACTTCGTATTCTCCTCTATCATATTTGTAACTAAAATTAAATATTTTAATACTCAACTTGTTAAGATTGCATTGTTCTGTTAAGTATCTTAGGAATACATTCTGAATTAATGTTTATGTTATTGAAATATTGCTCGAAAATAAAGTTGTCATTATTGATATTATATTTGTTTTTTTAGGTAACAATTCATAAGAAGTTTAAAATAAAATTGAAAAAGACACAAAAACAAGAATGTAATGATAAATAAATGTAGCATATTTATATATTATTAGGAGTTCATAACGATTATTTAAAAAAATATTTAAAGTATAACCTAATAAGTTAATAATTAATATTTTAGTGTTGAGTAATTTTTTTTTAAATATATTAAATACTTTTCAAATATACTGAGATCGTTTAATATTTCAGTTCTTATTTGATACAAAAAATAAAATTATAAAACAAAGTTATGTGTTAAACAGTTGGAAAATAGATTTAAATGTGTTAATCTCAAAAATGGTGTTATACACACGCACTAAGAAATTTTCAAAATTAAGACAAAATATTACCAAATAAAAATTTATAATTTTATAAAAAATTAATACATTTGAATATAATAAAGAATAATACAATTATTTATGTATAATTTAGTATTAAATTCCGTATGTTTTTGTAGTAATTTGTATAAATATAATATTATGAAAATTGGATACTATTAATTTTTAATTATAAGTTGTTTAAAGTTAGTTTTTATAAAATAAAACAAACCTTATAAATAAGTTCATAAACATTTCAACAACAACTTTTTGTATTTCAAATCATATACAATTAAATCAATTCACTAATTATTTTATGTAACATAAAAAAATATTTTACAAAATTTTTCATATAAATTTAAATTGTAAATAAATTTTTGTAGAAGATAATCAAGTAAAAATAAATTGGTGAACTGAAGCCTTTTAACATTGTACAGTTCTTAATTTAGATTCCCATATTTATGTACTTATCATCTTGAATTAACTGAGTCATGTATAAGGTTTTATTTAATATGTTCAAGTAAAACTCTCATTTAGTGGGGCTAAAGGAGACAGCCCTCAAAAATTTATAAAATCATATGTGTTGTTGTATAAATTATTTCTTAGGGAAAAAATAAATACGTTATTAAATATTATAAATATTTCAAAATTGTTATTTATGTTGTGCTTAAATTTTTAAGTATACATTTTATTACTATTATAATAATTAATGAAATTAAAATTATTGATTTTAAGGAGTTCTAAATCATATATTCAATTCATTTTTTTGGTAATACTCTTTTGATAGTTTTATCAACTATACTTAATATCTATCAGAAATACTTTCAGGTTAACTAAATTAGTATAAAATGAAATATAAGTATTTTAGTGATATATTTGTAAATATTTTATCATTCTATCTGAAAAATTATTATATTGTTTTTTATATTACATAAAATGTATATTGTATATTTTGCTTTTATAAAGAACACGTATTTATGTATTTAAAGTGTACATGTAGTGGGACATATTAGTTACCCATTCTTAAATTATACACTAAATTCTACAATCAGAACTTCTAATTTATTTTTAATAATATATATTATTGTTGAACTTCTATAATAGTAAAAGAAATTTTAATTTAACATTAGGATATTGAGTCATCATACATTTTTTTCAATTTAATACCATTATAATAATACTTAAATTTTGAAACAATCACAGAATATTTATGAAACTCAAATTTCCAATTAAGGAGTTATAAATGACAATATGTATAAAAAAAATAATTTTTACATAAAAATAAAATATTTTCAGTGTTTTAATAAGATTCTATCGACATTTGTAGATTGAAAAGTAAATAAAAGATAATTTTATTTGCAAGACAAAAGGGCTACTTATTCCTCTGGTTGGCAGGGCGATTAATTAATCTCAGGATTTAAACCTCTTAATATAATTTGTAATTAAACATATAAGTAATAGATAACTGGATTAGTATATTAAACTATACAAATTAGATATGACACTACTATCCTATGATAGATAGCACAGAATATACTTTTATCAAGACCTCTATCTAATATAGTTTTAATATAGTAACAAATATGAAAACTTTGAAAATTATACAATTTAGTAATAATTCTATACGATAATTACTTATCAAAGAAAAATATTGTTGATAATATGTTATGTAATCATAAGAATATGGTTGAGGTATTGTATTCATAATGTTAAATGTACAATGTTACGGAGAAAATAACTTCCAAATTTTGAAGAACATAAGACTGGCGTTATGGTTGGTATAAGTGTAAATAATTTTAATTGCACAGCACATGTAAAGTACTTGTCTAAAAAAAAAACCAGTTCATCATATTGCCAATGAGCTGAATGACTCTAGTATATTTGGATAGATAGCGCTGACGTTACATTGCTCAAGATCTTTATTATTTAAAGTTTTAATATAGTAACAAATATAAAAATGTCAGTCACAAATTTTAGTAAACAGAATATTTAATTTAACAATTGAAATGTTTTAATTTTTAATAAAATTGCGGGTATTCAAAATTTAAGCCTCTAATGCTTTCTGATATGCATGGTTGACCGTTCTACAATATTTAATCTATTGAGCAATTTCATTTATTGCTTCAGACATTGAAATTCAGATAACTCCGGCTCCCTCTCAATACGAATAAATCTTTCGCCTTTTACTAAAGATTTCCGTGGTGGGGAGCATTCAAAGGAGTCTAGAAATTTAATTTTTCCTAAGTGGCCTGACTTCTGTCGGGCTTGTTATGATTGTCTAAATAATGTAACGTCTAATAAAATAAATTAATTAGTTACGAGTAATAATTATTTTTAGTTGAACATTGTGGAATGGTAACATTTATATAATATATATGATGGTATTTTCAAAATTATGTTTTATCGAGTGTGTCATTACTCTAACGATTTGCAGCTAATTATTAAGGTTCATTAATAATAGGTGCGCCATGGTTCCCTTTGGAACTACGTTTTGTAATATAGTACACCAATAAATTTTTGTCACTTTTACTTACAATGTTTTTGAAGAAAAATTGGACCCGAGACACAGAACTGAAGCATCCCTTTGTTTATAGGCGTTATAGACTATAATCTATAAATCATAAATTAACATACCATATTTTTGAGATACTTCCAGTGATAACAATCGTGTTGAATCTCTTAAATAATTAGATCTATAAATAATAATTATAACTTATTATAATAGTCATTAGTATCTCAAAATTGTGTATATTTTAAATATATTTATAATTATTTATTTTATTATCGAAGTGAGAGGAAAAAATATCAATGATAGTTAAAATCGTAAAAGTATAAATGTTTAAACAATGTATTTAATTGATAATAAACAAAATTCCAGAAAATATGAATAATTTTCAATGAATTTGGAAGTACTGTAAAGATTCATAAAATAAGTTAATTTTAAAAATTAAAAATAGTAAGATAAGATTACAGTAATGAGTTTGCGAAAAACAGCAGCGAACTAAGATAAAATAGTCCGGGGCATTATGATTTGATTTTCGCGTTATATTCTTTAGTGATAACATGTTTTGTGTGTGATTGCTTTTAAGCTTTTTCTTGCCAAAGAAAAATGATGACATTTAAAAGTAAATGAACTTTTGTATATCAATATCTAAATAATAATACGATTAACAACAAAAATGTTTGTAAAATTTGATTGTTGAAAACTTATAAATTACATTTTTCATCTATAAACCCTTTTGATAATTTAACTAATGAACAATTTTATATAAAACATGATTTCTATATTTTGATTAATATTCATTATAATTTAGGCAAATGTAAAAATGAATATGAAATAATTTTTAAAGCTTTTAGAAAAATAATATTTTTAGTTCTTAAATGACTAAATTAAAAAAAAAATTCCTATTAAAATATTGTTAAGACCAAGCAGGAAATATATCAATAAAAATAGAGAATTATAGGTATTTAAGATTTGTTCATTTTATTTGTTCTATTTGATATATTTTTTTGATTTTTATACTATTCATTAACTTTTATGTAAGTGATTTTTGTACTGTTACAAATTTTTTGATACTCAAAATAAATTGTAAATTACATAATAAAAATACCAGATGTATAATATATAACATAGCGTCGGCACTAGATATCATTGGGCTTAATTCACAAACATTTTTCACCAGCAGTGTCACCCAGGATTTTTTACTGGATAATGTTAATATTAAACAATTTTATTGGTTCTTTTTTAAGTGATTTGTTATTTAAAAAGTTGGTTTAGCAGGACAAATGAGAGATTTTAGCGATACTATTTAATTTTTTTTTGTTATAAGGGATACTATTTTTAATTTCATCAACGTTTGAAGTGCTATAGTTGATTTCATTAGTAACTTTTATTTTTTACAAACAATGAAAAATTTTAAAATAATTTCATGGTAGTTATTTTGAGTATACCTCATATAAAGTGTAATTTTGTTCATTATAAATCGAATTAGTATATTAAATCACTATTATTCAAACCAAGTATTTATAATTTGAGTTATTTAAAAAATTTACTGAATTATATTGTAATCATATATTAAATATATTATATGTTATGAAATTTGAATTTATAATTTTTTCGTTTTCCCAGAAAGGCTGTATTATTTTAAATAATAATATAAGCAAATGAATTTTTCTTTTAGATATGTACAGATCTAATTTGAATGAAAAATTGATCAGTGGAAGTCTAAAACATGGTAGACTACATGAAAGTTGAAAGAGAAAAAGTATAACGTATTTGCAACGATTTCCAGGGACTTTTGTATTTTATAGATTAGATTGCGCCCGTCGTAGACGGTTGAGATGTACAAGTGGAAAACCAGAGGAAAAGGTAGAGGTAGTAGTGAGCCGCGCCCTATTTTCATCATCCCCCAAGCGGGTAAAACGTTTACCCACAGCATCCCAGTGGCAGACGTGCCGAGTCTCCCGAACCTTCCGTTACTCTGATGCTAACATTGGCTACTAATCTGTACATAATTCATTGAACATAATATAAGAATATATAAATTTTCAAACTCTATTGGATCTCTTCCTACGTGTCTGTCTACTCGGAAAAGTAAGTGACAATGCAAATTGAAATATAATAATAATTAAAAATAAGTTGATAGATTATTTTTACTATCTTGAATTGCAAGTACATGGATTCAGATTGCAGGCTGTATACAAAAAAAGTAGTTGTTCTCGTNGGCTGTATACAAAAAAAGTAGTTGTTCTCGTAGGTCAAGACAGCAAGAGTTATGAGTTCATTTTACTACGTTCACATGTGAGATTCGGTGGCATATTTAGTCGTTTTAGTACAGTTCCTTTGTTCTTTTAATTGATATGTTTTATCAAATTGATAATTTTCGCATATAAAATAAATTTCTAAATTTTACTACTCCTTATCTTATATCTTCCTGTCCGTTA